TAATCTACAAGGAAAATCAAAGAGAAAGAAAAAGACATGGGTTGCCTCCTAAGAAGCGCCTGATTTAACGTCGCGGCACGACGCATGTTACCATCATATCACTTCAAATGAATGAGTGCCACCATGTGGATTTCATCAAACTTTCCCAAATAATGCTTGACACGATGCCCATTGACCCGGAATATTTCACCATTCTTGTTCTTGAGATCAAGGGCACCAAAAGGAGTCACACATACCACTTCAAATGGCCCACTCCACTTTGACTTGAGCTTTCCCGGAAATAACCTCAACTGGGAGTTAAAAAGAAGAACCATATCACCAACCTTGAATTCCTTTCCCCGAGCATATTTGTCGTGAAGGTACTTCATCTTGTCCTTATATGAGGACGAGCTGGAGTAGGCATGAAATCTAGACTCACCAAGCTCATTAAGTTGCTCAACACGGAGATTCGCCGCAACATCCCATTCCAAGTTCAACTTTCTCAGGGCCCACATAGCTTTGTGCTCCAATTCCACCGGAAGATGGCAAGCTTTCCCAAACACCAACCGGTACAGAGACATACCAATTGGGTCTTGTAAGCCATCCGATAAGCCCATAAAGCGTCATCCAACTTTTTCGACCAATCGGTCCTATTAGCATTTACCGTCTTGGACAAGATACTCTTTATTTCTCAGTTGGACACTTCCACTTGACCACTAGCTTGAGGATGATAGGGGGTGGTCACTTTGTGATTTACTCCATACTTAGCAAGCAATAAGTCGAAAGCCTTGTTGCAAAAGTGCGACCCCCCATCACTAACGATAGCACGAGGGGTACCAAACCTTGTGAAGATACTCTTTGTCAAGAATGCCACAACACTACGGGCTTCATTGTTGGGCAGAGCCACAGCTTCCACCCACTTTGAGACATAGTCCGCCGCCACGAGAATATAAGTGTTCCCACAAGAGCTCAAGAACAGACCCATGAAATCGATGCCCCAAACATCAAAAATATCCACCTCGAGAATCGTATTGAGAGGCATCTCATCCCTTTTTGAAATTCCGCCGGCCCTTTGGCATGCATCACATATCTTTACCAAGTCACTAGCATCTTTAAACAAAGTCGGCCAATGGAAACTGCAACTCAAGATCTTTGAAGTCGTCCTCACCCCACCATGATGGACACCATAGGGGGAGGAGTGACAAGCCTCCAATATGCTCAATTGTTCACCTTCCGGTAGACAACTTCTAATCACACCATCCGTGCAAATTTTAAACAAGTACGGATCATCCCAATAAAAATCCAAGCTATCCCGTTTGAGTTTCTTCTTTTGGTTGGAAGAGAGCTCACCCGGGACAATTCCGGTCACAATGAAGTTGGCAATGTCCACGAACCATGGAATGTCACACATTGACACAGCAAGAAGTTGCTCATCGGGGAATGTATCATTTATCTCAAGACCGTCACATGGCCTCCCTTCTTCCTCTAGCCGGGACAAATGGTCCGCTACTTGGTTCTCACTTCCCTTCCGGTCCACTATTTCTAAGTCAAATTCTAGAAGGAGTAACACCCACCTCATCAATCTTGCTTTGGAATCCTTTTTGGTCATCAAATATCTAAGGGCGGCATGGTCCGTGTGCACAATCACCTTGGCCCCCATATGATAGGGCCGAAATTTCTCCATGACAAATACAATAGCCAATAACTCCTTCTCCGTTACCGTGTAATTCTGTTGAGCTTCATTCATAGTCTTACTTGCATAATACACGGGATGGAACATTTTGTTAACCCGTTGACCCAACACCGCCCCCACTGCAACATCACTAGCATCACACATTAGTTCAAAGGGCAAACTCCAATTAGGTGCGGTTATGATAGGGGTAGTGGTCAACTTATGTTTTAAGAGTTCAAAGGCTTCCATACACTTTTCATCAAAAACAAACTTGGCATCTTTCTCTAGTAGCTTGCACAATGGATTCACAACCTTCGAGAAGTCTTTGATAAACCACCGGTAGAACCCGGCGTGTCCAAGAAAACTCCTCACCCCTTTGATAGATGTAGGGGGAGGAAGCCTTGAAATCACCTCAATTTTCGCCTTATCTACCTCAATCCCATGTTTTGAAATCTTGTGGCCCAACACTATACCTTCTTCAACCATAAAATGGCATTTTTCCCAATTGAGAACTAGGTTAGTTTCTTCACAACGATCCAAGACTTTATCCAAATTCACCAAGCATGCATCAAAAGAGTCACCAACCACACTGAAGTCATCCATAAAGACCTCCAATATGTCCTCCACCATATCGGTGAAAATAGCCATCATGCAACGTTGGAAGGTCGCCGGAGCATTGCACAACCCGAATGGCATCCGGGAGAAAGCAAATGTAACATAGGGGCATGTAAAAGTAGTCTTCTCTTGGTCCTCCGGGGCAATTAAAATTTGATTGTAGCCCGAGTACCCATCCAAGAAACAATAGAATGCTCTCCCCGCAAGACGATCAAGCATTTGGTCGAGGAATGGCAAGGGAAAATGATCCTTTTGGGTCACCTTGTTGAGTTTCCGGTAGTCCATGCAAACTCTCCACCCGGTAATGGTTCGAGTGGGAATAAGCTCATTGTTGTCATTGGGCACCACCGTCATCCCTCCTTTCTTTGGCACACATTGGACCGGAGAAGTCCACGAACTGTCAGAGATTGGATAAACCACACCGGCATCAAGCCACTTGATAACCTCTTTCTTTACCACTTCTTGCATCGCCTCGTTGAGTCTTCTTTGATGTTCAAGGGACGACCTTGCATCCTCCTCCATGATGATCTTATGCATGCAAAATGCGGTGCTTATTCCCCTAATGTCCGCCAGAGTCCATCCTATTGCCCTTTTTCGCCTTTGAAGCACCTCCAAAGTGGCCTCAACCTGCAAGTTAGTAAGGCAAGAAGAAAGAATAACTGGAAGAGTTGAATTAGAGCCCAAAAATTCATACCTGAGGTGTGGAGGAAGTGGCTTTAACTCCAACACCGGTGGCTCCTCAATGGATGGCTTAGTTGGTGGAGTTTTGCGGTTTTCAAGATCCAAAGATAACTTCCTACGCTCATATGAATATGAACCCATACCATGCAATGCATTCACACACTCCACTCTGCTAGCATCATCTTCTACTTCCATGCCAAGAAGTACGGCCTCAAGAGGATCTTCAGCATTCATCATGGAACTTATGTCATCCACTATCACAGATGTGACAACGTCCACAAGTGAACACACTTCTGTGCTATTGGGTTGTCTCATTGATTTGCAAACATGGAATACCACCTTCTCATCTCCCACTCTGAATGTCAATTCACCTGCTTCAACATCAACCAAAGCCTTCCCCGTAGCTAGGAAAGGTCTCCCAAGAATAATCGGCACTTCAAAATCTACTTCACAATCCAATATGACAAAGTCGGCTGGCAATATGAATTTGTCCACCCGGACAAGAACGTCGTCAATTATACCCAAAGGCCGCTTCATCGACCGGTCCGCCATTTGAAGTCTCATCGAGGTTGGCCTAGGTTGCCCAATTCCCAAAGTCTTGAAGACTGAATACGGCATCAAATTAATGCTAGCCCCCAAATCACAAAGGGCCTTAGCAAACTCCGCACTCCCGATAGTGCAAGGAATAGTAACAGCTCCTGGGTCTTCAAGTTTCGGGGCCATAGAATGCACTATCACACTAACTTGGTGCGTCATCTTTATTGTTTTCACAATCCATGGAACACTTCTTTGTGACCAAATCCTTCATGAACTTTGCATAGCCCGGCATTTGTTCAAGTGCCTACACCAAAGGCACATTGATTGTAAGGCTCTTCATCATATCTATGAATTTCTTGAACTGATTGTCACTCTTTTGCTTTGCTAACCGCTGAGGATAAGGTGGAGGTGGTCTAGGCAAGGGTGCCTTGGCTTTTGGCACCACCGGCTCCGGAATATCAATTATGTGTTCCCTAGACGGGTTCACGGCCTCTTGAGTTTCCACCTCGGCCTCATCAATATCTATTCTCACTTCCTTGTTCACATTTGTCTCAACCACATCTTCAACAATCAACGGACTCATATCTTCTTGGAACCCAACATCATTGTGAGCACGTGATTTTTGCCCTATATGAATTACTCCCATAAATTCAAAATAAAATATAATTTTTTCCATTATTTGCAATTTCGTGGCATTTTTTGTTAAGTGTCTGCATTTTTGTCCGTGCATTTTAATTAGTGAAAAATAAAAAAATATGTTGCATTTGCATTTAGGATTAACTTTGCATTTGTAGGAATCAATTAGTAATTAAGTTATTTTATAAAAAAGGAAAATCAAAAAATAGTTTGATTTAAACAGTTTTTTTTAGGTTAATTAGGTTCTAGGACTTAATTTAGGTTTTAATCTAATTTTGAAAAAAAAAAAACAAAAGGGACATTAGAAAATTAAAAAAAAAGAGAATGAAATAGCTTTGCATCAGATTTGTTGGGCCAATCTCAATTTATATCCTAAAGCCCAAACTTTTCCCCCTGTACCCGATTGGATCCACCCTAATTCTAGCCCAAACCCGGTCCAAACCCTTCAATCTTCCAAATAATTTAAACGACGTAGTATTAAGGCAGCACGACGTCGTTTCAAGTTAAGGGGCTAAAAATGGATCCTGGCCCTTCATTTTGTTGTCATCTAACGGCCATAAGGGCCTCATCACCCTCCCATAAGACTGTCTAAACCTAAGTCCAAACCTCAAACCTAAGACCAAAATCCCCTGTCTCTCATCTCTTTTAACGAACCTTGACGCCGCCTTTCACCACTTCGCCATCTCCACCGGCGGCGGCGTGCCCAATCAATCCCAAATCGGTACCAGATAACCCCCACGCCTCCCTTATCTCATATCCCATCTCAATTTCTTTCAAAACACCTTAGAATTCCCTAAGTGTTAGATCTAAAATAGGTCGGGAATGTCAAGCTCTGTTTCTTCGTTTTTTGTTAGATTTGAGTCAGAACTAGCATTAGTTAATGGCTTCTGGTAGAAGCTATTGATTAATCCAAGTTATGATTCATTTCGGATCCCCCGGATGCCGGCCGGAGTTCTTATGGGCTGTTTTGTTCGTTGAGTTCGAGAGGCACAAAACGGGTATTCACTTCCTTCATTTTTTTTTTGTTTTGTTGTCCACTCCTTGTTCTCATCCTGATACTGTCTATCCTCTTCTCCATATCTTGTTAGGTCTGTAGAACAAATGCTCTTGATTGCATGATTAAATTCTTATCAAATCGCTGTTATTAGTTTTAGGTCTTCTATTTGTTATCATTTGTCAGTTTTCCTCTTTGTTGTGTTAATTATGGGTCAAGAATTTTTATTTTTTTACTTGGGTTAGGCTTGTTTAGGTCTTGCAGTTTAGGTTGGGTTTCTGTTAATTTTGAAGCCCAGAGAAAAGGAAAATTAGCCCGGTTTGGAGCTAAACCTTGGGTCAACTTGACCCATGTAGTATACTGCAGTAATTAAGGGACATTTGGGGGGTAGTTTGGGAGGTTTGGGATAGGGAATATTTTGGTAACTAACTAGGAAGCTTCTAGTAGGGGTGTCCAGCCAATTTCAGGCTTTTGGGTAGTTTAACTTGGAAAACAAGTCAAAATTTGAGGGATCTTTAAGCTAAAAGCAGAAATTAAAAAGGACTAGGAGTGCAAGAATAAAATCTGCTATTTGCCCTATTTGCTTGCCTATAAAAGGCACTCTTTCGTGCCTGAGAAGGCAGGAGCGAAGAGCTGAAAATCCAGAAAAATACAAAGGCTAAACATTCTGAAAATCTAGGATTGGAGAGCTGAAAAAATACAGAAAAACAAAAACGGCTGGAATTTCACTGTGTTATTGAATTCCTTTTTTTTTGAAATTTTTCTAGTTTCCAATTTGCAAAGAACAATTTCTGATCGAGTGGTGATTAAAAATGGATTGAGTTTGGTTTTGTTTCAAAAGAGTCTGGAGTCTGCTGTGGTACTGCTCGAGTGAGCTGGGTTTCGGTTTGCTCAAATTAATCTTCTGGGTTTGCTGGTGTGAAATTCCTGCTACTGCTCTACTGACTCTTCATTTTCTCTTGATTTGTCTTGTTCATCACCAGGTACACTTTTCCTGAACTCTACAGAATGTAAGGCAAACTTGAAGCATGAAATGGAAACAAAGTTGCAATAGTCGTACTTGTAACCTGTTTACACAGCTGATTGTCATAGATATCTGATTCATCATGTATGTTTAGTTGGACTCTATCTTAAACAATTGAAGTCTCTGAGTGATATTTAGTTTGGGACTTTTTTTTTGAAATGTCAAGTAAGGGATTCAGTCGCATTAGTATGTCCTAGATGTGTTTTAGCTTTTGGTTGAAATCATTAGTTGTGCTTGGTACTGCTTGCATGTCTGATGGTTGTTAAAGAGACTCAAAGGGAGTAATGATTAGTGTTTGTTATGCTTTTAGGAATTTCTATGAGGAACAGGCACATAATGATTTTGGTTTTTTTGGAAATGAAATTGATCTGTTGACACAGCGCTAAGGAAAATTGAGATTTGGTTAATAGGCATGTTTTGCATCTTCTACATCTATCTTTGATCAATTGTGAAATACCTGGCCCTTGTAGGAAACTTTGGTTGATTTTTGAGATTCAATTTTTAATTGTTTGGGTGCTGTAAACACTGAAAGGCGTTAACGGAACACATTTGGGTGTTTCAAGATCTGGGCTCAAGTTTCATTCATTACTTCAAGTTAATTAAGAGCTTCAAAACTTAGAGTCATGTGATGTTTAGAATTAGATTTCGAATTATTTTCAAGAATCAGGGCTTTGTTAAAGCTGACACATGATTATCCGTCAATTAAAAATGAGGGTAGCCATTTGGAGTCGTTGCAATTGTCTGCTGTCTCGATCCTTGCCCACACGCCGTGGAGATTCGATGTGGAGTCCTGCTTGAGGCAGCTCCAGGTTTCTTAATTTGGGCTCTCCTTGGGCCCAAATACCTGTGAATGGAATTGGACCCCTTCGTCCCTAGGATTCTGTCTTAATAACGTTGATCAAGGTCCATTAGCTATTAAATAGGTTTGAACTCTTTGTAAAAAATGGTAGAATCATTAAGCCTTTATTTAATCGATTAATTGGTATTTTAAAAAAAAAATAATAAATTTGAGGTGAGCTGTGTTAACACAAATATTTCATGGCCCTTGTTTTAGTTAATTTTGTTCAAGTCTTTAGAAATTCGGGACGTGCCATTTAGCGAATTTTCATGGCCTCCCGCAAAGTTAACAAGACGCTAGCCACTTTAGGCGCGCTTTTTAATAATTTTACCTTCTTAACTACGGGTGTGCATTTCATGCGACCTAAATCCAAATCCCAAAACGTTGAATAAGAGGTGTCAAGGATCCGGGTGCATTTCATGTGACGTGATCCAAAAACACTCTCTTAAACGACGTTCACTTTCATAAAAACTAATTAAAAGCGGTTAAACAATTCTAAAATAGCAATAGGATAACATGTATTAAAATCAGACTTTAGCCAAATATAGCAGTTGAGCGACCGTGCTAGAACCACGGAACTCGGGAGTGCCTAACCCCTTCTCCCGGGTTAACAGAATTCCTTACTCGAATTTCTGGTTCGCGACTGTTAAACAGAGTCAAACCCTTTCCTCGATTCGGGATTCAAACCGGTGACTTGGGACACCATAAATCTTTCAAGTGGCGACTCTGAATTTCTTAATAAACGAATCCCGTTTCGATTGTCCTTTAATTGGAAAAACTCCCTTTATTATGCCCTTCACGGGGTGTAGTAAGCAGAAAAAAGGAGGTGTGACAGCTCCTCCTTTTTTCTGCTTACTACACCCCGTGAAGGGCATAATAAAGGGAGGTGTGACAATCATCATCCACAACTCGATTCATTCGAGGCATGCACATCACCGCCTCTTCCGCTTCTCGTTGTGACTGCCATCACATGATTAGTACCTCCCTTTGGGTTCACTACCGTATCACTTGGTAGTGCTCCCTTTGGTCGGGTATTCAACGCTTGAGAAATTTGCCATATTTGCACTTCTAGGTTCCGGATAGATGTGTTGTGTGAAGCCAATTGTGCATCCGAGTCTTGGTTATTTTTCATCATCTGCTCGAACATCATTTCTATCTGTCCCATATCACTTCCGGAAGAACTAGACCCTTGGGATTGAAAGGGGGTGGATTGTTTGGTTGTTGGAACATGGGGGGCCTTTGAAAGCCTTGCCCCCTACCACCATTATTCCACCCTCCTTGATTGTTATTGTTGTTGCACCAATTATTGTTGTTTCCGTTCCAATTGCCTTGATTGTTACCTTGATTACCCCAATTATTGTTCTGATTGTTGTTGTTCCAATTTTTACCGCCTTGTTGTTGGTTATTGTTATTCCAATTACCGCCGCCTTGTTGATTGCCCTAATTGCTTTGGGGACGCCATTGTTGATTCCCTTGATTTCCTCTATTTCCTTGGTAGTTATTGACATATTGGCATTCCTCACTTTGATCATCATAGCACTCATTCGAATAACCCCCACCATCATTGTTGTTGTCAAATTGCTCACCATTACCTTGAGGTTGTTGTTTCCCTCTTTGCCTCCTTTTCAACATAGAGACACTCTTCATTGCATTGACTTGGTGCGGGTTTTGGACTTGTTGCAATTGCGCCTTTGCCAATTGATTCATAGTTGTTGTAAGCTCGGCAATAGCTTGGCCATGATCGTTCAATTCCTTGTGCAAATGGATGACCGTGGGGTCACCTTGGGGCACATTCGTTTGGCTTTGCCATGTCGAAGAGGTGTCGGCCATTTCATCAAGTACATCGCATGCCTCTTGGTAAGAAAGTTTCATAAAGTTCCCTCCGGCCAATTGGTTCACAATGCACTGGTTCGTGGTGTTGATGCCCCGATAAAAGGTTACGTATCATCGCCTCTGTCATGTCGTTATTAGGGCACTCCTTCACCATTGTTCTATATCTTTCCCAAATTTTGTGCAAAGGTTCCGTTGGCATTTGTTTGAAATCTAGAATCTCATCCCGAAGAGCCGCCATATGACTTGGAGAAAAGAATTTGGCAATAAATTTGTCCGCCAATTCATCCCATGTGTGGATAGAATGATTTGGAAGCCTTTCTAACCAGTCCAACGCTTTACCCCGAAGAGAAAACGAGAAAAGCCTCAATCTCAACGCATCCTCTGACACGTTTGTTTGTTTGCTGCCCCAGCATGTATCTACGAACCCCTTCAAGTGCTTGTATGCATTTTGATCGGAGGCGCCCGTAAAATACCCTCTTTGTTCGAGCAAGGTCAACATAACATTTGTGATTTGAAAGTTCCCCGCCCGGATTCGGGGAGGAACAATGGCACTCGCATACCCTTGATTTGGAAGAACTCTTGGGACTGCTCTTGGCGGTGGCGGAGGAGGGTCTGGAATAGGATTGTTATCATTTGCGTTGGCCTGACGGCCTCTACGTGGAACTTGAGGTGGTTGAACCTCTTCGGGCTCAAGATCATCTACCTCCTCCCCCGCATTCACGTTGCCAAGAGGGTCATTTGCATTGAGAGCCATTGTACCGGAATGATCGACACAAACAAAATTAGTAAACACGAAGGAAAGAGAAGCAAAACACCAAACGAGCTAAACAGATAGTCAACACCGTAAGCTCCCCGGCAACAGCGCCAAAAAGTTGATCACTGCCGACTCAACACTACACTAAGGTAGGAAGAGCGGGTTGCAACAGCTTTTACCCGAATAGTGGTTTAGGATCGATTTTCCACAGGGAGCTAGTAGTGGAGTCGTAATGTCTGTTCATTCTAGAATTGCGGTTGTGCTTCTAATGTCTCTTCCAACATATTTGGTTTTGATTTTTATATCTACTATTATAAGACTAATGATTGAAGCTAAATTATGCTACCGGAATATTGCTAAGTTGTGATTAATATAGAGAAAGGGACTAGGGTCGTGACACTACCTAGGTGGCTAGTCAACAGGTAGAAGTTACTAAGGGGAGATTGATATATTTGGGGCTTATGCTATAATAGTTGCACATTTGTACCCATTCTCACACCTCTCGGTAGAGAGAACGATTTTGCCCAATTGGCTGTCTCGAGACCAATTGGGTAGGCCAATTAGACCAAGCAACTAGGGTTCAAGTAGGGTAATTACTCTCTCGAGGTTTAACCCGTTAATTGGGACTACCATTTCTCATGGGTCCATCCCAATTCCTTGTTGGGCGAATTTTAGGGTCATGGACTTTCTTTCTCAAGAAGAGTTAGACCCACTAAGCTTGAATCTGTGTTTGCAACCACAAATTCGAAATTGAAACACAAAATTAACCCAAATAACAAACACCCAATCTCAATCTCACCCTAGATGGCAACACCCATCAACTACCCACACTAGGGTTGAGCCACAACCCTAGATAATGGGTTTAGCTAGACATAATTAAAGAAGAAACAGGAGAAATAGAAGAAGAACTAAACATATTAATTAATTACTAAGAAGAAACTACAAGAATCTATTGAGAAATTAACGCTACAATGCCAAAATAGGCTAAAACTTCTGTTCCCACGAGCGCAGCTCAATATCTGATACAAAACTTAACCTAAAAATGGTAAAATGTTCTATTTATAGTGGCTGGAAAAACTGGACAAAAATACCCCTGCGGGGTCAGCGCGGACCTCGCAAAAAGGTAGCGCGACCGCGTTAGCTCTTGAACTCCTGAATTTTAACTCTCTGAAGTTGAGTACCGCGGACCGCGCAAAAGTGCGGCGCGGCCGCAGGAGCTCTGGCGTGGACTGATCACGCCCAACTATGCCTTATAAAAGGACACACGGACGTTGCAAATATAACCTGAGTATTTATGCCCAGAGTCGAATCCACAGAGAATTAACCTATCAATTACTTTTGTTGGACTTACTAAATTCTTTATAATCAACTTCCCCAAATGTTGTAAACAATAGTTGATGGTATTTCTAATAACTAAGACTGAAAGTAAATAAACAGCTGTAAACTAAATATGTTTGGATTGTAAACAATAATGAGAAGGTTCTAAGGTAGTGATTTCCCCTATTGATGGAATCCCTTCCGGTTATGTTTCATATAAATTCACCAAACCATCTCTATCAAT